TTGCGGCTAAAACATCCAATCACTGAGCTTAAACCATAGCTGAGGATCTTGGGTAATCAGTTCAGTGGCTGTGTATCGCAATGATGCTCGAAATGTCCTTTATAGGCCTACGTCTGTTTCCGGTTATTTTTATTTTGAAATTCAGTTCCTGCCAGACGTGAAAAAAGCCAGAGATTATGGAATTAAACAAATAAATAAAAACAAGGATAATTGTGTGTTATTGGTGAGTAAATAACAGTTTGTTATTTAGAAAAGAATAACAAATTAGAAGGAAAAAAGATTACAAAAAAATACAGATTTCAGTAATCTGAGGCTCTGAGCCCCATTTCTTTTACTCACAGACGACAAAAAAAGTCCGACATTATACGACTTAAAATAAAAATAAAAATCGTGGCTTGATATTGAGTAAGAACATGTTTTTATGAACCACACAGCTTCCGGTCTTCCAAGACCTGAACGGACCAAAAGACGTGCTGCAGGCAGGAAACATACTACCAATAGAAATACATTGCTTTTAAAATCGTTCTGTGTGACACGAAAAAAAAGGGAAAATCGTGTTGGTGAAAACGAATCAATAGATTAAATGTTGTGACTATAACACGAAATGCCGTGAGACTGGGTTGGATATAGCACAACACTAAAGATTTGAAGTGTGAGAGAATCGCAAAAAAGTGGTTCAGATAAAGAAGGTCTCTGCCATGAAAAATCTCATGCAACACTTAGCACACCTCCCCATCAGTGTGCCATGTGTTCCTGCCTGAACCCCACCGCTGCTCACAGAGACATCAAAGACTCACACACCCTGCGCTCTCCATGCCATGTAAGCTCACAAGCCTCTTCCTTCATGTCTGCAGGGCTCCTAGACAGCTGTGGACGAAACACCAGCCTGGAACAAGTGCTGCTGTCCGGGCCCCACCCCACTGCGGCCTCCACGTTGAAAGGGCAACAGACGTGGCCGGGTAACAGGCACTTTGAGGATATGTAATTTACTGTCTCATTTACTGTAAGGTACCTTATTACTGCAGTAACACATATGAGAACAAACTGGCAACAAAAAAACAAAAAAACAGCAACAGGTCTAGATTTACAGCTCCGCTTGGTAACATAAAAATCTAGCTGATTCATTTGTATTTATAGAGTTGTGCAGTGAGGACGTATTGTTGTAGGCTAGGAGAAGAGAATAAACTACATCATGGTCACCTGGCTCTCTATCACCACTGATAAGCTAAAGGCGGCTTAAGTTGGCAGGAATGGGAAAATCTTTTGAGCCTGTGTAACAACAGTCCTTATCTCAGGCATCTAACCAAAAACATATTAAAATATGTTTTGGAATTATATTACCAAGTGGGGATGTGACAGATAGGCCCAATCAAAGTAATGTCATCAGCGTAATTTAGCATACTATCATGCTAACATTCCCTAATCCTGAATCTTGTTTGGGTTCATCCTCTGGGTATTTATCTGGGACAATAAGACATAAATAAATGGTTATATATCTTACAGTTCAATTAACAAATAAAAGGCCAACCTCATGGTGAAGAAAGATTTAAAGTCAGAAGTCAGGATTCATGAATAAATGATGAAACACTGGTTAAATGGCCACATGACTTTTGTTAACATTATTCTGACAAGCAACTTCTATACACCTTGTTTGGTGTGAATATAAGCCAAATGCTTATTTAGTGTAATGAACTGTAATCTTAGTGCTTCAAAACAGTAGGAGGGTGAATGGATGTGCTTTAAAAGAATGTGACACTGGAAACTTTGACACAGAAGACAGCTACATCAGAGATTGGCAACCACAAAGCCCTTAGTCAGAGGAGTGCAATAGTTGTGCCAGACTGTAGGGTGTGGTCATGGGATGGTGGTAGGAAGAAGAGCTTCTCTTCACTGCTTTTCTGCATAGCACCAGATGTTAAAGCGGATTCAAGACAAGCAGGAAGCCAGTGTCGTGAAGAGAGAAGTACTGAATTAGATGACTTTCTTGTGTAGATACTAGGGCTGTACCCGAATATCCGAATATCTGTTCGTTGGAGTACTATTCGGGTTTCAATTTCGTTATTTGGATATTCAAATTATATTATTTTTTCGTTTTTTTCTCGTTTTTATTTTTTATTTATTGAAATCTCTAATATCAACGTAAGAGCTTGTGCCTCTTCGGGGGGTGCTAACACTTAACCATAAACGTTATTGTTTACTTTCTCCGTCTTTATATGTAGATATTACTTTTTCTCCATTAATCTCCGTCACGTTGTTTCCATAGCAACAACAACTCGGATATATACATTAACAAATAACTATAAAACAACAATACTGTAGACACCCCCCCCTGCGCGGAACGAATAGTCGAATATTCGCTGCTGATTAATACCGAATATCCGGAGCCCAGTGGCGGCTGGTGGAAAATATTTTTGGTGGGGCTATGGAAATGGTGACAAAACCACACTAGGGCGGTCCGGGGAATCGTCCCCCGGAATAATTTTTTGAGAAATGACCCCTTAAATTATGACCTCTGGTGATGTGTTAGAGGGGAGGGGAGGTAAAAAGCCCAGGGGCCGGGGGGTCACACGGCCGGGGGCCGGCTATCCGCACATCCCCGCGGCGGGGGAGAGGGTGTACAAACTTAACCAGGTAATGTTTAAATTTTATTTATTTATATATAGAAGATTATATAATATATATATAAAAAAATTTCTGTTCCATTTATAATATGATCAACCATAGTCAATTTTACATATTAGATGTTATTTTAGAGCAAATTTTACAAACTGTACAGATTTCAATGACTATTCAGTGTACAAAGACGGACCGCATCTTTTCTTCGGGAGTCGGTCTCGTCGTCGTCGGTTATTGACTGACAACGATAGACAATTTGATACGGCGGCTTTGGTATTAAAGTCGGTTAGTCGACCAGCAGTCTAGACTACGAGTTTCCCAAGTCGCGGGACTCGCACACAGACACTCAACAAACCTAGCATAGGTTCACCTGCGATGTCATCAAAAGACGTTCCACCTCTTAGGCCACATTTACCTAGCGGCTCGACATCTAATTGTAAATGTACGAACGTAAACATCAACAATTCCCGTTACGGACAACCGGTGGTAACACCCTCGTATACACACCCGACCTGGACAATAAAATGTCTTTCCTCACTAGTCTCCAAGCTCAACAGCACTAAGAACAAGTCAAAAGTAGAAGGAGTGGGAGAGCCCGAAACTCAACGCCAGCGCGACGATTTCTCTACTCGATGGTACCTTTGGTTTGTTACCAACATCGACATAATTCAGGCTCCACCTTTTGTCAGCACTCATTCTAGACTAAAACAGTCTTTAGCCCTCTTTACGCCCCTCAGAGGGGCTTTTAGCCCTCCCAACCGTTCATTACTTTGTGTGTGTGTGTGTGTGTGTGTGTGTTGTGTGTGTGTGTGTGTGTGTGTGTGTGTGTGTGTGTGTGTGTGGTTTGTGTGTGTGTGTGCTTACAAGCATAAAAATCAGAGGACTAAAATTTACCCCTTATTTATTAAACCACAAGGTTTCGTGCCACAGACGGTCAAACACACCCCGATGACTATGACAACGTGTCCTTCTAAGTATCGATTGGTGTGACTTCTAATACCTAAATAGAGTATAAAAATTCGGAGTTA